AGAAATATCTTAATGAACATTCTGGAAATTTTCCATCGCAGCTCATTTCTCAATTTTATTTATCAACGCATGCTACTCTTGAACACAAGAAACTCTCAGATATTTGATAAGTATCACACATAAAGTAGGCGTTTGCAACAAATCAGATACATTCCAAAAAGTGAGTAAGATAATGAATAAGTCATAGATTTAACATGAGGTGCATTGCCTCCCTTAATTAGTTTATCACGTGTTAACCACGTGTTAATTACGCGTTAATTACGTGTTAATTACGCTGGCAAGTCTGCAGTGCTGATTACCAGTGCTTATGTTGTGTAATAACAACTCTGATCAACATGTGACAATTAGACTTTATGTAATAATCTTCTGATACCACACCATTAGGGGTGTGGTACATAATAAAACATTATAAAACTATTACTACTATTATATTACCAACTTACGACCTACCTGTACTATATTGTTAAAACTGTTAAAAAATATATAAAATATCGGAAATACTTACAAACTATTACGTGAAAGATAATGTGTGGTTTATGTGAATTTTAGATGCAAAATTAACAATGACGATAGTGCAATTAAATAAATAATGCAACAAAACCAGGAAAAAGTTAAAATGTTCAAACATTGTTGATAAATAGGCCAATCTTCAGCAGTACACTGAACTACCGCGGAATATTTTGGAAACCTCCCGGAAATCTGCCGGACACTTCCCGGAAACGATGTCTAAATTAAAAATCTTGAGACAATGAGAAAATTTGGGCAATTTTCTTTTGCGTAATTCACCTACCATTAATTCTTAATTTTGAAGTGTTCTTAATTAAAATTTAAGTATATTCAACCGCATTTTTTGGTCATTTTTAGCCAATATTTAGCTCACTTAGCAACGAAGGAAAATATTCCAAAAATATTATCCGGAAACGTTCAACTCCGATTTTGACTACTGAAGACTAATTAATTATTTAATCATATGTGACCCAACCATGTGATTATTGTGCCTTACAATCAATCGTCAGCTCACAAAATAACCAGAAATATACCAAAAATATTACGGATATATTCCACTCAAGTTTTGTAAAAATTGAAAATTTTAATGTCGTAAATTGACTTTTCATGATGTAAGGATCTATCTGCCAGTGTAGAATTCGAAATATTGAACTTAAAAGGTGTATTAAAGAGAAAAGAAAAAGAAGAACTTATAATGCGGCATGCTTAATGCTTCAATGGTCAATTTGGTCGTACATAATTACATAATCAGAGAATATAACTTTCTCTTCAGCCCGTAAAGAATTGACTTGTCACTCATCCACTGTCTACAAGTATAACAACAGACACATCTTTCATGCATAATATTAATGAACAGTGTGAATATCGTGTAATGATATTAATGAATAATGCACATATTGTTCCAGCAGAGATCTTTGTACCACTCTGTACAGGATATTTGGTTTCTCGGTTACATACATCCTCATTGTGCTGTCTGATACACTTCCTTCATGTATAATATTAATGAATAATGTACTGACTATGGTAATCTTCCTTCATATATAATATTAATGAATTATGTGAATATCATATATAAACGGTACCACTTGGCACAAGATGATTGGTTGATGAATAATGCGAATCTGGGTGAATAATGAGAATAATTGACTAGATCTATAATAATAGGTTCAGACACATGATCTTGGGTTTTAATTTTTAGACATTTAGAAAGTAAATTAGAACCGGGTCGGATGATATGATCCATAAAGAACTATTTAACTACATAAGTACAATGTACATAAGTACAATGTACATAAGTACAATGTACATAAGTACAATGTACATAAGTACAATGTACATGAGTACAATGTACAAATATTTGTTGATCATTCTTCCTCCTGCAGAACAATCATCCCCATAACTACATAATGTTATGTTTTTTTCAAAACCAAGAAAATATCAGCAGATTGCAATTGAAGACTCAACAGAACGGGTATTTGCATACAAAGTAGAAGTCTAAACATTCTATGGGCCCTAGACGGAAGTACAAAATTATCTAATTAAAATATTAACTGTAAAGAGATTTCCTTCTAAGATCGCGAAGTCCAAAAAGTTTTTTTTTCATATAATTCAAGACAAAATACGCATGTGCCACGTGGCATGATACCCGCTAAACATTATTGACCACTCAACCTCGATTTTATATCCAGCCCTTGATTGTTTTGTAGTCGCGGGCACCAATTTCGCCATTTCCGTCCCCAAAGGCATTAATAATTAATATAGCTCAAACCTGCTGATGGTACGCAAATGAACTGGTTAGGCTTGGCACAACCAGTGAATTCACTTTGAAGTGTACTCAATACCGAAAAACAGGCCAACTTGAAGTACTAGGCAACCCTCAACGAGATTGTGCTGATAAGGTAATTGAACGGTGCGCAGGTTTCCGGTCGTGATCTGCAATTTTAAAATTGTTTAAAACAGCTAGGTAAGGTCTCTTACAATCATTTCATTTTCATAATTGAATAATTTTAACAAATTATAGTGAGTTGCCATAATTTGGAAAAATACCCATATTATCAAAACGTAGATTAGATTAACGGAAACAGCATAAGTGTAAAAAGTAAAAATTTCTGAATTTTAACATGTTCTTCTTAATCTTATCAACTCCTCACGATCAATTGTGATCAAATGGAACACGCTTCATATTTTTGCGGTATACGGAGCCTGGGACTGTTTAATTCATTTTTCAGTCGGTCCATAATGGTAATTATATAGCATTACAATTTTAAGCCACCATAATTCGTCTTGGACTCAGATAATTGGACTATGGTGCATTTGTTTACGTTATTTGAATTTTATGTTATGAAATCATTATTAGATTTTTGCTCAGCTCCTTTACAATTCATGCTCTTTTGAACTTATAATGTCTTCTTTTACTCATTTATAATGGCATCTTAAACCATGCTATACTAAAACATACATTTTGTTGAAATGTAGTTGCGAATGCTGCTCCACTCTTATCAATGTTTTAATCCCACTTTGATGCAATGCCAATAAATCGAAGGGGTTCCTAATTTGTAACGTATAATTTTACTTTTCCTCAACTACGTGTTCTTGGTTTTCCAAACCCTGTAAACTAGCAGCCATTTGGTTAGCACCGTTATAGTTACAATATAGATGGTAATCACACTGTATCTCGACACGCACGTTATATCGCCATGTGATCCACAAAATAGTACATTAAGTATCTCTACATACACTGTATCTCGACAATTATACCTAATTTTATTCAAATTACACTGTATATCGAATGGCGATATAGGGGTGTCGAGATACGGTGTATGTCGAGATACAGTAATGAAATCTTCATAGTTCAATTCTGGTTTTTTCAATTTATTCAATTCTTTCTGTGTCGACTATCCGTTGCCAGGATTCAGATTACTGCAATAAAGGACATATTGACCGTTAGGGTGCTCTTTTTTCTTCTACCATCTTTCCAGAAGAGTTAGAATAGTGTTTTTTATATAAAGCGCAATTAAATGTCCTCCATTCGAACTAGAAATTATATGAGCATAACTAGCACGTAATCATTTGTCGGTATATTCAACACATTTCATAATCAGTCTAAATCTAATGATTTGGAGCCAGCTCGAAAAAACGACTCTTTTGTAATTAAATTCAAAATCTTTTATTTTGTTTGATCGAATTATTTGTTCCAATTCAGCCACATGATCAATAAAATGGTCCCAAATATACAAATCCGATTACTATCCACTCATACTGCTACATTTAGTATTTACCACGTATTTCGTCTCTTTTGAACTTATAGTTAATAATCGTTCAGATAAAAACAATGACTTGAAATTGCGTGAACGGCATAATTTTGGATGGACATTGCAAATGAACGCTCGAAGGTTTATACTAAATTATATTCTTCGTCAACTTGGAGAACCACTAACTCACTAACTGAATGAATTGCAAGCTTAGCATTGACTGGCATATGGCGTGTTTTGTATTCATGACTTTATGAGTGTTTTAACACCTGAAAGATGATAGGACCATCAACAAGTGTCGTATTGCTAAGTTAAAACAGATGTAAAACGAAATTATTTGGTTTGATATTTTAATTTTAATTTTGTGAGCTCTTGTCGGATACCGTAAAGTTGTACATATGGGATTGTTAACTTATCATTAAAATACATGAGTTTTATCGACAATTTACTAAAATTACTATCCGATGATCGGTTTTTTCGACCAATCATTCAGTTAATCGATAAAGAAATACGTATTCGTCGCCTCACCTCACAATGACTCACCCAACGTAAGTCTTCTCGAAATAATTCACTATAGACATTAGCTTAGGATAGTTTGTCTGTATATAGTAATAAGTAAGTACTAAGTTATTTCATATAAGAAGACTTCCTCGCCATCAGCCACTGGAGCAAAAGCAAAAAGTAAAAAGTATCTGAAAAGTAAATCTTCTTAAGATTCTTCTGAATTTTATTTTTATTATTCACGGACTTTATAATGCCACAGACACCATTTTCACGGACATAATTATTCACGCTAAGGTCTTCAGCGTGAAAGTAATGTCCGTGATAATTATAACCGATAAGGTAATTCATGTCACAGTTGTTTATTTATTTTGAGGTTTTTTATTTTATTTTACACCTGCGCAGACTTAGTGGAGAATAAGTTGCTAGTAATTGTTTGACCACATTTCAATTGTGCTTTTCCACTTTTTATTAGATCCAGTCAAAGTGCAAATATTTTTTCCTCGGCTATGGATTACCATCGGAAGAAATCAAACTCATTGACCCAACTCCATTAGTTGGCACTTAATATTCATATGCATACTGGTGAAACTTTAAAAAAAACATATGAAGGAGTCAATGAGTGGTATTTTATATATTACCGATGGAAGCGATATTTGGATTTGAACTGGTATAAAAACCTCTATAGTTATACTGTTTAATTTGATCGTTTATAAATTTAACTTTTAATGCAGTTCCGCGATGAATGATCCGATTACGTACGATAATGGAGCTCCGAATACCCACGGTGGGGCTTCCACAGACCCCTCACCCCTCACAGACCCCTCACCCCTCACAGACTCCTCACCTAGAGAGACTCTCACAATAGAAGAGGCAGTAAATAGAGTTTGCGAGAAAGTCACCCTGAAACTGGTTCTGATGTTCGCCGCTGTCAGTTTGACAGTTCTTAACGTTGGACCTGGGACTTACATGGCAATATTCACGGGCTACATTCCTTATACTGAGTGGGAATGTGTGTCTGTTAAATGTTGTGATCTTTTGGCGGCAGCTGCGTCCACTAAAGGCTTTTACTCTTACGAGACCATGTGTAACAACAATTTGATCGCAGGCTCCGACTTTAAGTGGACTTCAAAGACAAAATCCTTCTCAACAAAATGGGGTTTTTACTGCCAGAACGAAGCCAAACTATCTCTTTTCTCCAGTGTACATTCAATAGGAACGTTCCTTGGATCAATGTGCTCGACAGGTGTATATGAAAGGATAGGTCGGAAAAAAGGAGCAATAGTCGGCAGTTTCCTAACTCTGATCGCAGTGGCAGCCAGCGCGGTGGCCAACAATTACTATATTCTCCTCTTACTCCGCATTGTGTATGGGTTTGGTATGCAAGTTACCTACATGGGGTCTTACTGCTGGATTGTGGAGACTGCTCCGACTTATTTAAGGAATCCCATCAGTAATCTGTTTGCGCTAGGGTGGTCGGCGGGGATATTCGCGTTGATTGGAATCAGCTACGTAATTCATGATTGGCATTATGTTCATGCTGCTGTGGCCTGTGTGGATGCCGTTGCGATTCTTCCTTTCTTCTTGCTCCCCCTCCCTGAGTCTCCTCGGTTCTCCTTACTCAAAGGAAAAGAAGAGGAATCAAAGAAAACTCTCACAGTTCTAGCCGGTTTAAGTGGGACTAATGTTTCTCTCGACAAAATAGATTTGGTTTTTGAAGAGAAGGACCAGTCTTATTTCGAGCAGATTAAAGACTTCAAATGCCACCCAACCATGCTGAAACAAACCCTAACCGGTATGAGTATCTGGTTTATGGTCTCCTTGATATTCTACAGCTACCAGTACGGATGGTCCAAGATGGGACACGGTCTCCACAGTATTTACTCCTTCTCGGCTCTGGGGGAGGCGATATCTTTTGTCATCCCAGTGCCATGCTGCCGCCTTCTCGGCCGCAAGAAAGCGACTATATTCTTTTTTGGGTTGATTATTGTCATGAACGGTTTAGCAATGCTGAATGTTAAACTGACAGCTGAGTGGAACCTGGAGCACCTCGCCAGCTTGATAGGGAGTATTGGAGGCGGAGCAGCGTATAACCTAATGTTTCTTTACACAGGGGACTCCTGAGGGGAGCTGGCACCCACCTCACACCGAGGCATGATCCTGTGTCTTAGTGCGTGCTGTGCGGAGGTAGGCAGCTTCATTGGTCCGTATGTTAACTTATTGTATGGAACTACAGATAGAAGGGTTCCGTTGACCTTATTTGCAGGGTTGTCTGTGCTGGCTATTGTAGCGCTGTGTATCCTGCCTGATACAACTGGACGGTGTGTCCCTGAGACCCCTGGTGATGTAGAGATGCTTGCGGAGGTGTGTTCCTGAGACCTGCGGAGGTGTGTTCCTGAGGCCCCTGGTGATGTGGAGATGCTCGCGGAGGTGTGATCATGAGACCCTGGTGATATGGAGATGCTTGCGGAGGTGTGTTCCTGAGACCCCTGGTGATGTGGAGATGCTTGTGGAGGTGTGTTCCTGAGACCCCTGGTGATGTGGATATGCTTGCGGAGGTGTGATCATGAGACCCTGGTGATGTGGAGATACTTGCGGAGGTGTGTTCCTGAGACCCCTGGTGATGTGGAGATGCTTGCGGAGGTGTGTTCCTGAGACCCCTGGTGATGTGGAGATGCTTGCGGAGGTGTGTTCCTGAGACCCCTGGTGATGTGAAGATGATGGCAGGGGGAAGTAAGGGGGATGGAGAGAAGGTTTTATTTGAAGGAGATGCAAAAAGTCAAGTTGATGTGACAGGAGTCGAATAGAGTGGAAGGAGAAAGTGGAACTGATGAGCCTAATGGATAAATAGCTGTGGAGAGTAAGCTGATTGGATATGAACAGGAGCTGCGTCCTGCGATGTCACATCTCAGATGTAAAGTTGTGGTAATTACCGTATGTGGACCAAATGACATTTACATTTCCAACTTTCAGATCGCATCGATAATTTATGGAGTTAGATATTATAAACAGTTAAGAAATCTGTAATATAATAGTTATTTATTAGAGTTCTATTAGTGCAATACGTTATTACAGATTTGTCAACTCATATTAAACCCATTGTATCATAAATTAATGTAAAGGTGAATAAGTTTGTAAATCATAAAGATACCAAAATGGCTATTTGAGTATTTGATACGCTCAACCATTCAAAATAATATCGAGAAAGTGGCACGAATCCAAAGTAAATAATAAAAAAGTCTCCTATAATATTACGAATTATTCCTCGCTTCATAAGCTCATCACTAATCCTGCATCATATAAATGTCTCCACCACTATTGATCCAAGAAGAGGATCCCAGAATCAGGAAGTCTAATTATCTAATTAATCATCTAACTAATTATCCAATTAATTATCTAATTAGTCCTCTTCAAGCAGAGACAGGGCCATCACCGGGTTGCTCCACTCCGATCGCCATGATAGCTTGCTGAGTGACACCAATCGCAGGACAGTTTGAGCTCATCTCACTACGCCATATTTCATCCCGAATGTTGGCTCCTGTATAATATGTTGGTAATAAGTTATTAACTTGATTAGTTATTAACTTAATTAGTTATTAACTTAGATATCTATTAGAAATGGCAATATGCAAATTTATTTCGAAGTTATAACGCCCTTTTTACTAATCTGTAATGAAAATACTTGACAAATATCATGACGCATGAATCGCGGTATAGAAGTCATAACTGAAATATAAGTAATATAGAACTGTAAGCTATTTTGGGACTATTATAAAATGTGCGACCTGCTTGAGCGTGCAGTTAAACGTTTCAAGTTGCCGAAAATGAAATAAGTTGGCCATTAATTATCAAATGTGTTTAAAAATTTGAACATTTTTCGAATCCATAGATTGACCACACCCTCATATTTACTCCTACTTGGAATCACTAAATTAACTTCTTAAATAAAATTTGTGTGACTTTAGCATTTTAAAGTTTAAACTTTGTGACTGCAACAAATTATTTGGTGCGACAATCTCTGGGTTTTGAAATTTTAAACATTTTTGACGAAAAATCTAAAGCTTTGTGTTATTAACTTAATAAATTATTAACTTAATAAAAAACCAAGTTACAGTGGACACCATTATTTATTTGACATAACAATTAAGTGACCGTGCTTTAAGTGACCGTACGTTAAGTGACCGTGCGTTAACCGTGCCTAAAGGAACCATTGTACGTTTTAACTGATTGGGATCTGACACATGTAATTTTGTAATGATCTTTCTAATTTCTAATTTATAATTTCTAATTTCTAATTTCTACGTTATCCGTGCCTTAACCGTACGTTATGTGACCATCGACAGGTTACCGAATTGCACAGTAACAATGAAAAATACACGCGCGTAATTTTAGAGCTCATTTTCAATACCGGATTATAATAGATCATGATACAAAACTTCCATTACTGCTTCACAGTTACGCTTATTTATTATATACAGCCCAAGGTTTTTCAATCATTAGCAAATTGAGCTAATATGTCAACATACTGTAACTATATGTGTGTGTGTATCGAGAGTCAAATCAGGTTAAATGGACATTCTTTTTATTGTGAATACTACGAAAAACTGAAAAATAAGTCATAACATAGTGTAATTTACAAATTACAATACATAAAGTTTCCTTTTGAAGCAATATTTACTTAAATCATCTCAAAACTTGTAAGTTTGCTAACTGCATTTTAGTAAGATATCTTAGCTTCTGCATAGTACTGTGATTACACGATTGACACAAATATGTTACGTTATAGCAGTAGAAACCATAAACTAGCATGACCTCGTCGTCTCTTAATATGCGACCACAAACATTCCTAACATCTTTCGTTCTTCCTTAGATCCCACTTAAATCACACTTTTGTTCTGCTCTAAATTAAATATAATTAATTAATTATATAATTAATTAATTATATAAGTAATTAATTATATAATCATTATTTAAATAATTAAATTAGCACCCCTGCGTGACGAGTGTTCCGGTTCAGGTTCGAGCAATAAGTTGCATTAGTAAGGGCTAAAAATAAAAAGTCTGCCATGCTTCGAACTGAACTTAACAACTTTTAGTTTATGCTACACTTGTTTTAAAAATTCAAACCATGCCTTTATTATTCGCATTAATCCGTTTCCATTAGAATTCTCTGACGACAACAGATTATATTCTAATTGCGTAACTGATTCTTCGTAAAGGAAGCTAATATTAGTAAAAGGAAACTAATTCCATCGAGTTGTTGATACTCAACCATAGTAATGTCTCGAATGAATGATGTAATTGATTAAAGAATCCTTCAATTAAGCAACATGATGATTTAACCTATTAGTTACAATACGTTGTTCTTTATGATTGTAATTCTAAATTCTTGAGTATAATGCTTCAGTAGCAAGATGAAATATCTAAAACTTTTAAGGTGTTCTAAGCAAAATCATTCATTGCAAAATCTCATTATAATATTTATCTATTTACGTAGATTTTTACAAACTAATCTACGTGACAGGACAATTTAGGTTTCATTCTGCCGAAAGAATTTTCTTATCTTCCCAAAATTTCTAATAATTGAGTCAGCTCACAAATATATACTACTACTATGTCGGAACTAAGCCCGATCTACGCCAGATAGCCCCCTCTCCAAATATCCCTGTCCCGCATCAGGGTTCGCAGTTCCTGAGTTCCTCTTTAGAGTTTGTCCCAACTTCCTTCAGTAACATAGACAAGTAGCTTTGTCTTGATCGGCCTTGCTATGTACAAATATGTTTGCAAACATAAAGCAGCTAAAGCTGTTTTGTGTGCAGACTCTAAGCAAAAGTTGTGCCAAGTACACATAACAATGTGCGTCAACCGACACGTGATCTTGTCAGTGAAAATGTCAGTCTATGTTTAAAACAAAGCTCCTTCCCTTGATTACACTAGTATTCCCAGGAACCCCATCACAATTAGTCGAAGACAGAAAATGCCGCGATGTTGAAAACAGAAATACCAATGTTTGAGAAGCTTCCCCGCTGAAGACGGTACCCCCAAGAATTCGGTAAACCTACACAAATCGTGACTAATCTGTGAGGTATTTTCAGTTCACCTGACTTTAAGTCGATATGAGAGGAGTAATAGTGAAAAAGAGAAGTATCCAATTTGACGGAATGAATTTCTGAGGAGAGAACAACTAGGCTTCCCGGCAGAATTACAACATAAAAAGGCCTCTTGTCGGTTAACGTTAAAGAGCTCCAAATTTATCAAATTCTGATGTCTCCAAAAATTTTAAATGAATCTTGGCAGCTGTATGGCGTTACTGACGACCAATTAGTAAACCCGCGTAACTTAACCTAGTAATTGGTACAGCCACTCCGTTCGTGGTTTTATGTTAAAGTTTTTCAGAAATTTATAGAATAGCCAACGTCTCCGTGAAGCTGAGAGGAAGAAGAGTTAGAGCAATTAACATAGCTCCCTTGACCCGGGAGTTTATATATACTGACGGAAATAATAACTGTGGTGTTGTCAAGTGTAAGTTGGTTTACAGTTGATAACAATTGTTAGTGGGAGTCTCCATGACCCTCTCTCTCTCACACTCTCTCTCTCTCTCTAGCCCTCTCTCTCTCTCTCTCTCTCTCTCTCTAGCTCTCTCTATCTCCCACTAGCTCTCTGAGGGAGAAGCCTTAGTTTTGTTTTATACAGCAGTTAAACTGTTTTAACTGCTCTGTTATTGACAAGTTGCTGGTGGATATGAGACACCCAAACAGTCCGCAAGTGAGTTAGGCTGGTTGTAAAGTAAATATATTTTAAGGCGGGATCGTCCCCTCCCCCGGGAAGGCTACAGAGAGGAGAAATAGTTGGCAGCGGACTTATCAAGCAATCATATGGAATAGAGAGTGAGTTACGTTTTTGGCAAGTGTGAACCACGTGACAGATGACAGCATTATGATACTCATTATCATGACATCCGAGGAGAGGTCATGTGACACACATGCGCGTTATCACGTGCACATGCGCGCTGTCACGTGCAATGAGGCATGGTAAGTCAGGGTCGCACCCCGCACGGTCTCGCATATATTATGTTAAATGCGTGCTATGAGAGTCAGAGAGAGAGAGGAAAGATTTAATATTTGCCAGGTTTCCGAAGTTTAATAACTGATTGAGTCTTTTAGTTTAACGTAAACCAGTTTCTCCAGTTTCTCTATCCTTTTCTCCGTTTCGTTTGACAAGTAAGCCTGATAGCACGTACTTTTGCCGTTATGAGGATGCCAGCCACCCTTCAGAAGATCAGGAATCGATGCCAGCGAAACAAGAAGCTTCCCAGCGAAGGATCAAGCTCCCCTTACGGACCTAAACGTAGTAAATCAGCCCCCTTCTACTTCCAAGACTTTGACACGGAAGAACTGGAGCTTCTAACGAACGGTTTCTCCACGCCCCCTAGAAAGTCAGCCCGCTACAGTTGTGCTACCCCCGACTCCATTGCTTCAACCCCAGGACTAATCAGAAAAGCAGATCTGATGAAAAGAATGCCATGCGCCAGGAAGTTCACCTCCTCAACCCTCGGCAGATCAGAACCAATAATGAATTTCACAGAACGGGAGCCGATCAGACAGACTAGCCTAGGGGTTATAATGGCCAAGAGGTTGAGAAGACCAGACAGACCCATGTCGATGAACCCATTTAACGAGGAGAAAAGGGGGGGTTGCAGCGCGGAGAACTGTGTTTTGTGTACGCTTGTCAGACCAGAGTTCAGAGGCAGGCACATCCACAAGATTAGCAGCCCTTCGTTTATCAGAAACTTCGATTGACTTTGAGGACCAAGTCTGTTGAGCAGAATCAACGCCGTTTTAAAGTACAGCATCTACAGTTTGAAGTCAGAACCAACACTTATTGAAGACCTGAGCATGATACAGAACTATAACGCATTAGCTGTGGAAGCTGGAGTCCATTTCAGGACCAACACGATTTGTAAACTTTGAGACTTTTGCTTGAAAGCTTGAAGCCCGATCTTATAAGACTATATTATGTTCTCATTCAATACACTTCCTGCAGAAGCACGAACAAAGAACATTCGTGCATTCGCTAGTGTGATATTGGTGCAAAGAAGTTTATTTTAACGATATCATGATTTATTAATTAGGACAGAGCAGACTGCTTCGTTTTTATTTTAACCTGCATGAATTTAAAATAATCTATTTGTGTTATTTTGTCATTTAAAAAGTTGGATGAATGATCATGATGCTTAAACTGGATCTGTACATATCGATATTTTAACTTAGTTAAGGTTTAGTTGACCTTATATTTAGAAGTATAGAAAGATAAGAGTATAGATAGAAATTACTTTAAAGATTTTACGAGAGATTTAGTTTGTTAGAGTTTAGACCTTACAAGACTGATGTAGATTTATTCATTTAGTTTTTTGTTATGTATTCAATTGCGTAATATGTATTCATAAATGTATTTATAAATGTTTATGTAAATAACTTTCAATTAAGTATCCATAAAATATTTGAATTTATACGAAAATTGCGATTTCAGTTTCGTTTTTTATCCAATAACTTTTAAATGCTTTACAAAATTCTTGAACTCCTCTACCATGAGGATAACTAAATGCTTGTGATACTATATCTATTATCTAAATCGAATCAAATTTCAACATTGAAATAAATAAATTAACATAAAACGTACCTACAAATAAAAAAAGTATGTAATACAAGACTCACCTAAAATCATCTAACTCGCCTAAAATCTGGCATTGTTTGCTGTATGTAATACAAGACTCACCTAAAATCTGGCATTGTTTGCTGTAAGCACTGGCAGTAGCACACGCGACAGGGTATTCGTTTGTCAGAAGCTCAATGTTGCAGTAATCTGAGGAAAGGTTTTAATTCAAATAACGAAAAATGTTTAATCGATTTTCAATTACTGAATATTGACCCTGGATTCTGAAACTGTTATACAATATATCCTCATCCTTAGAACTCAAATTATCCCAATGTAGCGATCTTCAGTCTCGTTATTTTGTGGGTTTTGACTCCAATTAAACTTTGTAGCGGCTTTGAAATCTTTCAGTAATGCCATAGAACTGTAGTACATATTTCCTCCGAATAAAATGGCTGAGAAAAATGGCTTCAAGCTGATCGGAACTTGATTAGTATAATATATGTAAAACCCTGAATCCTACCAAGATCTAAGAATAGATCATCTACTTGCTAAGGATTCTTAACTATTACGGTTATGTTTCATGGGCTAAACTTATCGATTATTATCTGACTTCGTCCCACACTTCTATTCCGTCTCATTAGATGATTCTTTCTAATTATACTCAGTATAATGACGATATTGTAACCTCTCCCATCTCCCATAACATTATCATCACTACTCTGAAATCTGAATCTTGACAGGACTATAAGTATAAACTTAACTTTCAGTAAGCAAGTTTGGCAAGTTTGGCAGCAGCGCACACCACAGCTTGTAAAGTTGTAACATAATAACTCTTAAAACACATCACGAAACTGACAACACCCGCTGCTTTCCCATACACTTGCGCGAACAGTGTTCGGACACTTGCTCGAACATCATCACCCTCCGCCCCGCTCTAACAATGTCCTGATAATTCCCACATCTCTGACATCTAACTCAAAACTTTTAAACTCATCCCAAGTCAACTTTAAATCCGTGTGTGGTTTATTTGAGCAGACTACAGTTTATTTGGATGAGCGCCACACGACAGGCTGATAATTGTGAGAGTCGGTCAATATGACGTGCTATCCAACACCTCGTTATCTTGTGTGTATCTGAGTTTCTAGGACCGGAGGGGGGGGGGGCTCCTTTTAGTCTTGGGAAATGTTTAAGGTGGCTTCCGGCTTCGTGGATAAATTACATGTGTAGATTTCAAGTTTTAATACATTTTTCCTTTTTGAAAAATATACCCAAACATCAAATGGAGTAAAAGAGTAACATAAGGTGCCCCAACGGCCCCCACCCACGACCCCCGCCCCCGCCCCCCCCCCCCCCCCCCCTTCCCCTCCCGATGGTACTCGGAAAAAAAGCAGAGATGGACGTGTTGAGTACTGTTATTCAGAGAGTCAGAAGAAATATATGTGTGTGATCACGTGCGCATGCACGTTGTCACGTGCAACTAGTAATGGTGTGTTACATTGATGATCTAATGTTTACAAAGTCATACATAAAGACTAGGTTCACTTAGCAGGGCTCATGAAATTACAGGTTCAGTATGTTCCGAGGGACGGTGCTTTATAAAAGCCCTAAACTGATGGACAGTTTCAAACCGGACACGTACAGTTTTATACTGTTGAAGATCAGGAAACAAAACGTCAGTAAGCTGAGTGCAGTTCCATCAATCCCTAAAAGAACTAATCGTTCATTTCTTTTTTTTGCTCCTGTAAAGCCTTCACGCAAGCAAGATTCATGAACAACTTTTAGCAAATTCTTCGAATTTGGGTGGGACGTTGTAAAAAAAGTTTGAGGATGAGAAGGTCTGGACGATTAAAAATTCTGTGTTTCCCAATAAATTACATAATATCAGTACTCACCTAATATCAGCACTCACCTAATATCAGTACTCACCTAATATCAGTACTCACCTAATATCAGTACTCACCTAATATCAGTACTCACCTAATATCAGTACTCACATAATATCAGTACTCACCTAATATCAGTACTCACCTAATATCAGCACTCACCTAATATCAGTACACACCTAATATCAGTACTCACCTAATATCAGCACTCACCTAATATCAGTACTCACCTAATATCAGTACTCACCTAATATCAGTACTCATCTAATATCAGTACTCACCTAATATCAGTACTCACCTAATATCAGTACTCACCTAATATCAGTACTCACCTAATATCAGTACTCACCTAATATCAGTACTCACCTAATATCAGTACTCACCTAATATCAGTACTCACCTAATATCAGTACTCACCTAATATCAGTACTCACCTAATATCAGTACTCATCTAATATCAGTACTCACCTAATATCAGTACTCACCAGCTAGGCAGGCCTCGTAGAAAGTGTTCAGGTTGAGGGTTTCGTGGCATTTGAAAAGTTCCTGGTTATCTACTAGTTCCTGACATGAGGCCCTTGCTTCGTCGTTCAGTCTGGGGATAATGCACATTAGTACGGGTCACAATGCACAGGGGATAATGCACATTAGTACGGGTCACAATGCACTGGGGATAATGCACATTAGTACGGGTCACAATGCACTGGGGATAATGCACATTAGTACGGGTCACAATGCACTGGGGAATATTCAGATAATTTTGGTACTGCATTGTAAACTCTTTAAATATAATACTGCCCAGTGACTGCACAGTCACTGCCCAGTGACTGCCGACTAGCTGCTGACAATATGCAAGCGTTGATTTGCTGAATTGTTAGTTAGCACATATAACATCTTTCGTATCAATTAAATGTTTCCAGTATAGCAGTATATATAACTGACAAGGTGTTTTTCTGTCAGCAACCATGGTCACGAATTGTAAGAGCCTGTTCCACAAGGTGATCCCTAAATATAACCATGACAACCATGCTGCTTTTCCTGTTTCAGCGCATCTGTAACTGCATGGCAACTGTTTCCATCGTGGATGACGTTTCCTTTGATTACACAAATTTTCATTGAACTTGTGTGTCAGTCTCGTTGATTAATATATCCTACCACAAACCTAAGCCCAGAGGTCAGTTGCAATGTTGATGATGCTGCCAACCCCTGAAAGCGTGACTTCCGATCACTGACACCTAACAACAGATACTGACTACAAGCTGTCTTCTTCTGTCAGCAGCTCCAATTAGTCACGGATATTACCACCGTTAAAGAAAAGCTAAGTCAAAATAGTTCCTGTTGGCAAGCGACATCTTTTTCCTGGGCAGAAGACATTTTTAACTTTATCTTGGTACTATTTCTTCACTAAAAGCGAGTTAAACATTTTCTACAATGGTTAGGGGAACTGCAGGCCCCGCATACCACTCTTTCAGGGCATGGCAGAAAGCTCTAGGAGAATGGAGATGCGGGGGGGGGAGGCAGAAAGCTTAAGGGATGCGGGGGAAGGGGGGGGGGGGGCAGAAAGCTTGAGGGGATGCTTGCAGTACAAGAACATTAGAACAGCTAAAAACCTGTAGTTGCTTCCACAAGGGAGAAGTCTGGAGTACTCCTTGTTAACAGGGTGATCACAGTACTCCCCTCTATCTAGTAACCTAGTAACCTAGTAACCTAGTAACCTAGTAACCTAGTAACCTAGTAACCTAGTAACCTTGTAACCTAGTAACCTAGTAACCTAATAACCTAGTAACCTAATAACCTAGTAACCTAATAACTAGCTAAAAACCTGTAGTTGTTTCCACAAGGGAGATGTCTGGAGTACTCCTTGTTAACAGGGTGATCACAATACTCCCCTCTATCTAGTAACCTAGTAACCTAGTAACCTAGTAACCTAGTAACCTAGTAACCTAGTAACCTAGTAACCTAGTAACCTAGTAACCTAGTAACCTAGTAACCTAGTAACCTAGTAACCTAGTAACCTAGTAACCTAGTAACCTAGTAACCTAGTAACCTAGTAACCTAGTAACCTAGTAACCTAGTAACCTAGTAACCTAGTAACCTAGTAACCTAGTAACCTAGTAACCTAGTAACCTAGTAACCTAGTAACCTAGTAACCTAGTAACCTAGTAACCTAGTAACCTAGTAACCTAGTAACCTAGTAACCTAGTAACCTAGTAACCTAGTAACCAGCTAAAAACCTGTAGTTGTTTCCACAAGGGAGAAGTCTGGAGTACTCCTTGTTAACAGGGTGATCACAGTACTCCCCTCTATCTACCTTCCATCTGAACACCATCTCTTCTATTCCTCCCAGTAGAGACCCTTCCACGTCATTTCCTGGTGGGTTAGTTAATTAGTTAACTAATTAGTTATATAAGGAATCATCTGAAGCTGTGGGCATTACCTAAAGTAAATTACAGTTTAAAGGAGATATAGATTATAGATACTATTATTATGAGATATCTGTTGTAGCTCCGTTGCATTACCTAAAGTAAATCACAGTTTAAAGGAGATATAGATTATAGATACTATTATTATGAGATATCTGATGTAGCTCTGTTGCATTACCTAAAGTAAATCACAGTTTAAAGGAGATATAGATTATAGATACTATTATTATGAGATATCTGTTGTAGCTCCGTTGCATTACCTAAAGTAAATCACAGTTTAAAGGAGATATAGATTATAGATACTATTATTATGAGATATCTGTTGTAGCTCTGTTGCATTACCTAAAGTAAATCACAGTTTAAAGGAGATATAGATTATAGATACTATTATTATGAGATATCTGTTGTAGCTCTGTTGCATTACCTAAAGTAAATCACAGTTTAAAGGAGATATAGATTATAGATACTATTATTATGAAATATCTGTTGTAGCTCTGTTGCATTACCTAAAGTAAATCACAGTTTAAAGGAGATATAGATTATAGATACTATTATTATGAAATATCTGTTGTAGCTCTGTTGCATTACCTAAAGTAAATCACAGTTTAAAGGTAGATATAGATTATAGATACTATTATTATGAGATATCTGTTGTAGCTCTGTTGCATTACCTAAAGTAAATCACAGTTTAAAGGAGATATAGATTATAGATACTATTATTATGAGATATCTGTTGTAGCTCTGTTGCATTACCTAAAGTAAATCACAGTTTAAAGGAGATATAGATTATAGATACTATTATTATGAGATATCTGTTGTAGCTCTACTACACGGCAAATACCATTTGTTAGTTAGCTATATAACCTTTACTCATTACTGTCTGTGCAGAGTGCAGACGACTGGTGGACAGGTTTTACCACAAGAACTACCACGCCTTATGATGACATATTGCTGGTAACTTTAAGGCGGATAAGGTTGCAGAGGCAGGTAGACAGGGCACAACATATGATAACATGTCAAGTTATGCGGAGGTGCATAATAATTATGCGAGCTGTTGACACATCGTCTGGTTACATAGTTATGATTTTATTTCAAACAAGTTAAACACTCGAAACGGGTGGATGCAGACGAATAGTTTCATGGAATAGTTACAGAGTAATATAAATAAATGACTTACCAACGGTTATGCTTGCCAGCATTGTGATATCACGTAGTAAATGACTTACCAATACCACGTGCAAAATGACTTACCAATATCACGTGTTAAATGACTTACCAATATCACGTGTTAAATGACTTACCAATATCACGTGTTAAATGACTTACCAATATCACGTGTTAAATGACTTACCAATATCACGTGTTAAATGACTTACCAATATCACGAAGCTGGGTTCCCTCGTTTTCTGCATCACCGTCGTTATTACCACACAGTCCACACGTCTGACCACCTGTCATAATAGTATTATACTGTGTTATACACACTACAATAGTTATAACTGTGTGTTATATATCAGATGTCAGAGAGGAGGAAAGTTCAATCACTCCTCCTGAGTCTCGTGAGTGAGCTAGGAGGTCGCTAGACATCTCATTTTAAAGCCATATCGATTTTCTATACGCATACCAAAAATCAAATGCGTAACTAAAACAAAAATTAAATTACAGAAGTTTCTAATTTTTTGTCAAAAAACGAACTTTTATGGGTATTTCTAATGACCAGGGTCTATATCAGATATCGGAGAGTATGAGATAATATCCCCTGAGAGTATGAGATAATATCGGCTTGTAATAATTATGCAGGATATCCAACAAGTGATACTCGTAGTTAACACCTTAACACTAACGGTTAAATACGTCACACTACCCGCTGAGCACTGTGTCACTTTTTATTAGCCTGAAGTGCATGTCAGGAGGAACTATTGATTACCTTATCATCAGCTTAATTAAATGTGCGCGTTGTATATACCTTATCGGACGTTATTTGACAAGGCACTGCGTCAGCGTGAACGGACAAAGTTTTATCGGTATTTATCTATACTTGAACGGACATCCGGAAGGGGGAGGGGTTACAAATTTGGAAAAACCCGGACAAGGGGGCGGACGTTTTTAGTAAATAGCCCCTAAGCTATTATAATACAAGTAATTCAATATTTGTTATTCAATTTTCGTTCAGAAATTGAAAAGTCCAACTGAATGGCTACTGCATTTCAATCGCCACAATTCAAACTTTTAAGTTTACAATGCCAGATTAGCTACTATTTTTCTAGGCTGAAGGTTTTATACCATTAGCTCATTAGCATGTAAGGGGGAGTGTTGAGCAAAATCGCGACGACTTTTCCTCATAACCCACTATAAAGTAACTAAAAAATTATGTTTCCATCGTACATAATATATTGAAAATATAAAAGATCTGCGCAATAAGTCTACACTTACTTTGAACTGTTTCGTCAATGGATATCTGCAGTCCCATAAATCCATCGTAAGTGAGGGTAACTCCAGACCCATCCAAACTGACTGTGAGGTAGAGACCATCAAATGAGAATCCTATGTTACCTATCTGGAAGTCTTGTCCCTGGAGAAATCATTCAATATTATTCAAAGTTTGTTTTTAAAGATAAAACTCAAAACTTTGGTTCTTTTTCAAAAACCTGACGTAAGAAAATACTTGTAACAATCACATAAGATACAAATTGGTGTTTTTGTTAGTGTGAGATATGGTCATAATCTGTTAAACAAACTACGTTTAACCAACTAAATCTAACTAACTAAATCTAACTAACTAAATCTAACTAACTAAATCTAACTAACTAAATCTAACTAACTAAATATAACTAACTAAATCTAACTAACTAAATCTAACTAACTAAATCTAACTGACTAAATCTAACTAACTAAATCTAACGAACTAAATCTAACTAACTAAATCTAACTAACTAAAAATAACTAACTAAATCTAACGAACTAAATCTAACTAACTAAATCTAACTAACTAAAGATAACTAACTAAATCGAACTAACTAAATCTAGCGAACTAAATCTAACTAACTAAATCTAACTGACTAAATCTAACTAACTAAATTTGACTTACTAAATCTAACTAATTAAATCTAACTAACCTGTCTGAATGGAACCTTGGTACCCTGATGGTTGATTACCCAACCTCTCCCAATAAACACAGCATCTCTAAACCCCTGGTTCGTGTGAAACACTGATATGTCGTGCAGGCAGGTCCCTGGGATGCAGTTATTCTGGTTCGTTAGTTAATCAATCAAATCCTTTATAATTAATCAACTTGAATGATTAGCGACAGAGAAATAAATTGATTAAGCTTTATTTTTTCAATAAAAAATTAAATTAATTACTAACTTAATAACTAAGTTAACAACTAAGTTAATAATTGAGAAACTGACCTCTGCCACAAGTCTGAAATCCTCCGTAAATTATCCACCCCATATCCACACAATCCATTGCCAGCACGTAAGTGCACTCATTCTCAAACTTGTACTTCAACCCTGTGTATAAATAAATAGATGGGATCAAACTTGTACTTCAACCCTGTGTATAAATAAATAGATGGGATAAAATTTCACATATTTTATTGTAACTTCTTAACTTCTAAACAACGGATAGTGCAAACATAACGCTGCTATCTAATCTTTTTATAAAAAACAGAACCATAAGGCTTGCACGAGTTGCATTCTACGCCAAATTTCACACAGCAGTTATTACTATGTACATTTTACATGTATGGAATATTTGACGAAGCCTTTATAATACTGCGAAGGATAGAACAAATCAGATCAACATTGTTAGTGGAATATTCCATAATCTAAAATTCGGCTAAATATATGGGAGATCGTTTTAAATTGGTATTCGCCAAAATCTACAATTTTATCGTTATCGTGTCACCAGACACTACTATTAGCTCGGATTTAAAATCTACATATTTTAGTGGAGCGTAGAATGAGTGTAAATTGAGTGCGATTCAGTTAACGCATCAGTTTTCTTCGCGTTGAGTTGTTTCCTTTTCAGTTGATCTTTGAGTAATTTTAACTTCCTTTTTTTCTAGACATATTTCATTTCATAGTAAAGATAAAGTTTTAGTAAACCCTTCAAATCTTGTCAACGAAGTAACGGTAGATACTTATATGTGATAACACATATAAATGTTATTTGACTGCAGAATCATGATGGGTCCGAAATAAATTCAAAAGTAATTTTTAAACTCGGTAAAAGTCTGTGTCTATGGGCCCGACATTCAGCTCCGCAATAGTCCTTACATTACAGATATTGTCAACAACATACCCTAGCTAGTAACAATATCTCACCGTTAAACTAGAGATATTGTTAACGATATACCCTAGCTAGTAACAATATCTCACCGTTAAACTAGAGATATTGTTAACAATATACCCTAGCTAGTAACAATATCTCAACGTTAAACTAGAAATATTGTTAACAATATACCCTAGCTAGTAACAATATCTCACCGTTAAACTAGAAATATTGTTAACAATATACCCTAACTAGTAACAATATCTCACCGTTAAACTAGAGATATTGTTAACAATAATCCCTAGCTAATATACCCTTAATAACTTGTAACAATATCTCACTATCTCACCGTCGAATGTGATAACATGTGGGTCTCCGAACACGTTGCACGCTTTTTCCCCGTTGATTCCAGCAGCTAACAGTCCAAGCAGGACGAGTATCAAAAAGCACCGCATTATTAACTATAAGAGTATAAGGGTAACAGTAACTTGTTATTATACTGGAGGATATTAGATGCTGCGTAGTTGTCATGGTAACTAGTGTAGTTGTCATGGTAACTAGTGTAGTTGTCATGGTAACTAGTGTAGTTGTCATGGTAACTAGTGTAGTTGTCATGGTAACTAGTGTAGTTGTCATGGTAACTAGTGTAGTTGTCATGGTAACTAGTGTAGTTGTTATGATTACTAGTGTAGTTGTCATGGTAACTAGTGTAATTGTCATGGTAACTAGTGTAGTTGTTATGATTACTAGTGTAGTTGTCATGGTAACTAGTGTAGTTGTCATGGTAACTAGTGTAGTTGTTATGATTACTAGTGTAGTTGTCATGGTAACTAGTGTAGTTGTCATGGTAACTAGTGTAGTTGTTATGATTACTAGTGTAGTTGTCATGGTAACTAGTGTAGTTGTCATGGTAACTAGTGTAGTTGTCATGGTAACTAGTGTTATACCGGAGGATATTAGATGATGACTACTAAAATAACAGTGTCTTAAAACGTTTAAGTAATACAATTTTTTAGCATGACTGAGAGCAGAAAAGGAGAGTTCTTTTTTAGTTTAAAAAAATACACCTCCTTTCTGGTTCATGTAAGTAAGTACCAAGCTTATGAGTGGACTACAGAAGAAAGTTAAATGATGACTGCCCAAATAAAGTTCATTACAGTACCACCAAAAAAGGGAAATAAAAGCTCTTTATTATTTAATGCTGTTAATTTTCAATTAAATCTTTTATCTGTTACTTATTTATTTATCTATTACCAATTAAAAACACCTTGATTTGCATCTATGTTGCAAAGATCATAATATGAGTATTAACTGCTAATCAACCACAATTTCTACTACGAATCTAAACGACGTGGCCACTGTAACATGCTGAAACGAAATATGCAGAAGTTTTGTAAAATACCACGAATACAAGGTTCGAGAATAAGGTAAAACTCAAACCCTGAACAGGATCGAAGCCAAATATCGGCCCCTAAAACCTACAAAATCAACCAGTTACAGTTACAAATGGTGTTGGTGATAAGGAAGTTTACTGATAAGTTGTTAATTAGATTATCACTTATGGCTAACTGTCATAAGGAGTTGTAATCTTCGCTGTAATTTTCTCTGCAGGCACACGAGCTGTTCTGCACCCGTGTGGAATGGGTTCTCGAAATTTCACGCTAAACATTTTCGCTCCTTTTATGGGTGAAAATTTAATTTAGGCTTACGGTTATAGGTGTCGGTATAAAACGTTTAATATTGTGGTGAAATGTCGTGAGCTACAATGTCGGACGATAAAGTATTGTAGACTTTTTATGCCTAATTGTTGTAGAAAATGTTTCAACCATAGAGGGATATTTGAGTAATCACTTACTTTTATCTTAAAAGTATCAAGAGAATTTTTTAAATATGCATTGCATCACTCAATTTCTAAAAGAGAATATGACTTTATTGATATTCACATAATATGTATTATTGAAGTTAGCACTTACAAATATTTGAGTTAGCAGAATTTTAATGTGCCAAAACATTTACTTCCAAAATATGTTTGGTGAATCCCAAAATGAAGCTTCAAAATAGGAAATTAGAAAAAATAAGCCACTGCTTATGTAGTCGTGATTACCTGAGGCCTTCAGGCTTTAAATGGCTTAATGACAGGCTGAGCGCCGACCAGTAATACTTATATACTTTAACAATAATGATCATTACCATTACCAAATCAGCAATAATAAATCACACAAATGACCCTTAATTTGAACAAAATTAACACGAATATTTTTCGATTTGACAAATTCCTCGAACCAGTTGTACTTGTAGTATTAACTTATTAAGTCTTACGTGCCAGAAAGAATAATTTCAAGGCGCATGCAGTTATATCTCCACCGAACGCTGCACACTCCCCAAATTGCGGGCATTGCAATTGTTGTAACTTCTTGCAAACTTCATGAATCGAGATAAAATCTTTTGCAATGTATTCAAAATTGATATACCTTAGTCCTTATCGGACTTTATTTGAACGGAAATTAATTAAACGCTGGAGGTGCTAGTGTTAATCTTAATGTCCGTTCAAATAAAATCCGTCCGTACTCCGTTTAAGGTCCGTCCAAGTTAAAGTCCGTTGAATTTTTCCAAAATTATTCCAATGCAAGTCATTTACGGATCCCGATGGCACTGTTGCAGCAATCTCGTGGCACTCTCGAGGCACTCTCGTGGCACTGGCGCACACTATGGCATTGGTGGCACTATATCAATATGGCGGCATAGTGCCAACTTTCAATCATGTTTGTTTAAAAGCATACGACAATCATCACAGTGCTGGCAAGCACGACCGTTGCATTTATTGTGGGTATACTATGTACCCCATTTACTATTATACCCCCTTTACTAATACTATTATACCCCCTTTGGTACACGTTACAAGCCTCTTTCGTGCACGCGAAGCGTGCACTCCGGCCGGAGGCGGCGGCCGAAGGCCGCCGCCTCCGGCAGGAGTTTTTCAGGCATTAAGACTCATCGGAAGTCGTTCAGCAGATTTATTTTTAGTTCAAAACATTCTAATTTGATGTCAAAGATGACAGGAATAAAAAATAGTTATGTTGAGATTTTTAAGAAATTTGCATAAAATACTCGCCAGCACTGTTATACGAAATTCGGTAAAAAACCCAAAATCGCCATATTCAGGTGCTTTAAAAACCATGTTAAAATTGAGTTAGAGATCTGAAATTTTTCAGGGCGTCTAGACGTTGACCAAATCGACTGCAAAAAAAGTTCCAGGTTTCAGGAGCATCGGGAAGTGGGTTTTCTAGAACCCCTGTTTTACGATAGATTGTCGTGATATATACATACATATATATTCAGGGATAGACGCTTTGCCAGTCAATTGTAGCCTGTATTTAATTGTCCATAGATTCTAAAGTATAAAAGATACAGCCATTTCCGACCACAGGTCTTGAAAATAATTGTTTACACTTTAGTTTACATTTATAAACAAATTATTTGACGTCATGAACACCCCTTGATGACGTCATCAAGTTAACCGTTTTTAAAACTTGATTTTTGACAAAGTTTGTTGGGGACCGGCCCGAAGTACCAGCCAATGTTTACTCAAAAAATAATATATATAATAAGTGTTATCAATTCAAACTCAAAACTCATACAAGATTAGATCTCATTAAAACGATTAAAATGTATATAATAGAGCTTGTCGAAACAAAACATAGCTGAGCACATATAAAGTTGCCTTTAGTTGAAATTATCATATTAATATGCTTTTAGAGTTGTTATAGAGTGGAAACAGGCGCATAGCTACTGCTAGCTAGCTATTCCAAAATTTTTAAAATTTAACGACTGTTATCAGTCGCATAGCGTCATGCCGTTTTTGCTGGCGAATTGATGGCAGTGTAACTGAGATGGTATGCAGTGAAATTGATTCTGTGATGGCGTGCTTATGGGACAGAGTTATTATTAGCATTACGGTTGATGTTGCGCTCTGATTTCCTTAGTCCCGTTATATTGTATAACATAAAGTTATGCCATTCGTCTGCAATGCCCTCGTTTTGTTGATCAATGAGCATGTTTTTTATGCACCTTTTGTAGATGTTAAGGTTGAATAGACTTGGCAAGGAAGTTGCTGCGACACTATATCTGTTTATTGCTAATAGTGGACCTTTGTAGAATACTGAATTATTGTAAGGGTGTTTACCGTATTCATCTGACCACAAAGTTGTAAGACTCGAATCCGGATCGGCGACGTTAAATATTGGTGCACTGTTAGGTATTGTTTTCTTTATAGAGGGAGGCACTAGACTTGGGAAGTTTTTTAGCTTATGTATAAAAACTAATGCGTTCTTTACGATGATACTATGAACTGTCAATATTTTGTGTACATAGAAACCAGACTTGGTACTTGCTGGTGGTGTACCATCTTTGTACCAGTAATTAACAAAACCTGGTAGTATTGCTCTAAGACCCATTTTCTGTTTAACAAATAGTGTTTCTATATGGGATTTGGCAGCAAAACCCCAGACGAGGGAGCAGTAATTAAGGTGAGACTGCACAAAGCTGTGATATATTTGTAAACGTGCTTCCAGAGGCAAATATTTTTTAAGTTTGTACATGACTCCAATGTATCTGGCCATTTTCATTTTCATGGCAGAAATATGTTGCGACCAGTTCAGTTTGTTATCTATTATAACACCTAAGAAACGGGCTTCTGTTTTTCTTTCGATTGTGACACCAGAAATTACTACATCGCGATAAATGAGGTTTCTTTGTCGAGAAAAGATCATTTAATTCGTTTTTTTAAGATTTAGAGCTAATCCGTTGTTATCTACCCATTTAACTAAGACATCGCTAAGAATTTTGAGCTTATCATAAACCTCGTTTATATTTTCTCCTGTTAGGAAAATGTTTGCATCATCTGCGTACATGATGAAATTAGCTATTTCTGATATTTGAGGAAGATCGTTTATGTAGATTATAAAAAGGAGAGGTCCCAAAATTGAACCTTGGGGTACACCGTAAATAATTGGATTGGCTGAGGATTCAGAGGATCCAATTGATACAAACTGGTTTCTGTTCATAAGATATGATTTAAACCAGTTTAAAGCTAGACCTCTTATGCCATAGTGCTCGAGCTTATTCAGGAGTATGGAGTGATCCACCAGGTCAAAGGCTTTGCTAAAGTCAATTAAAAGGAGCAAAGTAACTTGCTTTTTAGACATTGAATTGAGGATTCTGTCTTTAGCATTAAGAAGTGCATGTTCACAAGACCTACCTGGGCGGAAGCCGTATTGATTTTTACAAAGTATATTGTAGGTATCCAAGAAATTTATGACTCGATTGTGCATAAGCTTTTCGTAGACTTTTGAGAAAGTGGCAAGTAGAGATATCGGTCTGTAATTTTTGATGTCAGTTTTAGATCCACCTTTATGTACAGGAACTACTTTTGCCGTTTTCAAGGCTTGGGGAAAGACCCCTT